AGTTAACAAACAAAACAAGTCAAAATTTATATGTATAGCCTTTTTTCATATGGATGTAATGATAACTTGACAAAATGCAATTATGTATTACACGAGAATTTGTCAATGGATGACTAAGATAGGAGCACACATTATTCTTAAGGTCGGTACGAATACTAGTCTTGCTAACAATATTCCTATTTTCGACTAGTATAAGGCCATACGACGCATCATTTCCTGCCTGAAACTCTCGAAATCCATTTTATAGATTGATATACGCTGAAACGGATTAGTGGACAAAAGAAGAAAACCAAATACTTTCTCTACATTTTCACTGAACAAACAAGTATGAAAGGATCAAACCTTTCCTGAGTCAAACACATACATTTTTTCCATCGAACTCTTTATTGAAAAAAAAGTCGATCAAAAAAATATACCAATACCACATTATAACTCCCTAACCCCCTCCGCCCGGGGGCAAACTCCCCCATAGATGCCCATTTGGAAGCGGGACATCTGTTCCCGCAAACAGAAAGATTCCTGAAACAGAAGAAAAATCATTTTCGAATATATTCTTCGAGTTAACTAAGGGAAACATACCTGGATTGCTCGCTGAGTCTTTCCTGGCCAATATTTCATTTTCTCAAACTTCTCCTTAAACTCCACTTCAAATTGAGCCCGCAAGCCTGCTTGTCGGCGGCAATTAAGCACCTTTCCTGTTTAGCTTCACGTAGCCGTCGCGTGCTTTTTGTCCACTCCCGTTCCTCAATACAAAACGAACATTTTTTTCTGAAAAGATTCTCTTTTGAATGATACAAATAGTAAACTTCAAGTTCTAGTAAATTTGAAACTTACCTCCACTATTTTTTCCTCATCGTCGCTAAAAACACCGTCCCAGGTTGGACTTCCTTCCGGAGTCCAGTCGGTCGGTGATGGCGTGCGGAGACCGCAAAGTTCAGGATCGAAATAATTCTCCATTTATTCTGAAAGTTCAATTATTAGACAAATGTAAAAACCAGAGCACAAAACCAGAATTCAAACCCTACTAAAGAAAATAAGTATGATACTAAGAGATTGAGAGATAGTCAGACTAATAGGAAGATTTTATTTTGGGAAAAGAAAGATTAATATGGAGAATAGAGTCAATAGTAAACTGGATGCATTGACTAGAGCAATTCAAAGGCCCTTATATATCCGTTAGTAGTCGGGAACATGAAAAGAAGAACGCACCGATAACCCTGGGTTGACTAAGATATACCTAAGGCCATGCAAGGAAACCGTATCAATATGCTAAAAGCAACTTTAATATCAATGCACTTACCGGGTCGCATATCTGACTGGCGCACATCCATACAATTAACATCAACATCGTAATATTTCTGAAACAAAAAAAATCACAAAGTATCAGTTGTGTGGCGGGAGACCAGTGGAGAATGAAACTGTTTATTACACGAGATCACTCTTATATATCCCGATCGATCCCTTCTTCTTCATCGCTATAGTATTCATCCAATCCTTCATTCCACACGTCCTCTTCATTTCCACCATTTCATTCCCTAAAACCGGTATTTCCCGCCTACCCCTAACATCCCCCCGTAGTGACCGTCAGGTCACTCTTTTGCGAGAGCACCCCCCATTTTTTACCTCTATACACAGATCACAACTTCATCTTTATTCATAACTAAAGCATTTCACGACAATTCACTTAGTACTCATATTAGCTTCTTCCTGCGCTTCCACTGGCGGCGCTCTCGGTACTTCTTTCATCTGGAATCCCTTCGACCTGAGGCTCTTCCATTCGCGGTATCATTTCCATCGCTCGAAGGTTCTCTTCATATCGGGGTGGCGGCTCCCGCCATGCCGTCCTCCATCGACGCCCGCGGCGCGCGCAATTCCACGACCGCGGGGTTCTTCTTTGAGGGGCGACTCGGCTAAAATGTCTTGTGTGGTCCTTTTAGCCTCCTCCTCCACTCTAACAAACCACTCACCGACTGTAGAAAAACAAAACAAGAAGTGGGAGTCGAGGTTCCAACCGCAGGCGGGCTGGGCATTGTCGTCGCTGTCGATCCTGCCAGGGGCGAACCGAGGCACGACCACTCTGGGTGCCCCGGCCCCCACCCAGCCGTAGGCATGGTCGAGACGGGTTGTCGTAAATACGGGCGCATTCCACGGCACCAACACCACGCCGTTCGACCAGTTCATCCTCGCTGCTAGCTTGAGTAGACTCAAAATAAAGCAGACCTCTCTTCGCCGGTTCTCTTATACCCTTCCTCCGGCCTATCACCCTTATCCCGGGCTATCTGCTATTTTTTTCCTATCCTCGACCGGCTTTACTCTCCACTAGTCCTGTCATTTTGTCCGTCATTTTTCTTTTCCGACTCGACCTTTCTCGGTGAGTCCTTTCTGGCACTTTCTTCTCCTGCCTCTGGCCTAAGTTCCATGGCAACTGCCAGTTTATCCTTTTTCCGCTCCCTATGCGGCTTCTCCTCCTCCAAAAGGTTACCCTTCTCTTCAACTTGGTCCGCATGTGCCAGCCTACACCCTGTACCGTAATGTACACGATACGTGTTGGAACCTACCACTTCCAAAATTAATTCCAGGAATCCATTTTTCCGTGCCTATCAGTATAATTTCGCACATACACCTGCTGTCCCTCCTCAAATTTCCTTTCCTTCGCCTTCTTATAATATTGCTCCTTCATCTGCCGCATCTGGGGGGTCCAAACGAGGTACGAGGGGCCTTCATCAAATCCAACGTCGTTCCTTAACGAACGTCCCATTAACATTTCGGGCGGGGAGGTCCCTGTCGCCGGCTGCTCCGTGACCCTATATTCGAACAATAAATCTCTCACGGCTGCCTCTAACGTCTTACCGGCCTTCCGTCCTTTATAATAACCCTTCTTAAAAGTCTTCACGAATCTTCCTGCCTCCCCGTTAGAATTGTGATGGTAAGGTGGGATGAAAACCAATTCAATACTCCTTCTTCTACAGTATTCCTTAAACTCCTTCGCTATGAACTGTGGCCCATTATCGACCACTATTTGTTCTGGTAGCCCATGGATACTGAAGATATCCTTCAACTTTTCTATCGTTTTTTCTACAGTGGTTGATCCCAAACTTATTTCAAAAATGATACGACACGAAACCTATTAGTATGTTCGAAAGTAAACAAAATGGTCATAAAAACGACCTAGCAACAATTACTTTCGATTACTAAACTAAATTATGCAATAACACCGCTTAGTATAAATGTTTGTATGACTACTCTAGAAAAAGCAGTGATAAAATAGTTACATAACACCAAAACACTCGTTTAGAATGATCAAAACAGACATGATAGAACGAGGAGAAAAGAAAGAATCATCGTAAGAGAAAGACCAAATCCAGCTTAAGAATAACATTCAATAATACGCGCAATCCGACATGATCGTAAATGACTTGTAAATCGCGCAAAAGAACACCCCATGTCGAACTGACAGCAATTCGCGCTTTAAAATGGCAAAAATAGACCTAAATCACATGGGACAAAAAGGAGAACATGCAGGTGAGGCCGTTCTTGAAACTAGAATCAATTTTCGCCTCTTTCCTAACGGGGAAATTGAAAAAAAAGGTTTAAATAAGAAAATCCTATTTTTTTCAAAAATTGGTCTTATTAGAGCATATTGTGTGCAGTTACACACAATACACAAAACTACCGTAGCCTACGCCAAATTTTATTCGAGAAATGAGTTTTAACGGCGAATTCAAGAAAAATGAGAGTTTCTTTTTGGAAGTCGATAGAAATGGAACAAGAACAGCTTAGTTTGAACAAAATAAACATTTACTATTAGTATTTTCAGGAATTTCTATGCAAATAGTCGTGAAAACCTCATTCTTGAGTAGAAAATAAGTTACTGATATCACACGATTTTCCGATATTGTGATGAATCGCACCAAACAAAGTCTACAGTATAACTACCTTCCAATCAACGGAATAACGAATAGATTGCAACTTACACATGGCTTATCCAAACCTTCGTTTTTCTTCTTATTTTAACAAATTGTTTCGGAACCTTTTCGAACACGTAGGACTGTTTAAGGTACAAATATCGCTAAAATACTGATCTTACCAACATACACCTAAATTCATGCAAATTGAAGCATTTAAGTGTGATTTTCCATCGAAACGCTGCAGTTAGAGCTCTCATATTGCCACCTAAAAGTTAAATTACTTTAGCATTCACTTATAAATCTGCAAACATTATTACAACTCCCTCTCTTTTGATCATAACCCGCCAAAACATTGAAAATACTTCTGCCTACACAGCTCCTTCTTCCTAAGCGAGAAGAAAAGCGTGTTTTTCTCCACATTAAGGACAAAAACAAGTAGCAGAGCATTTTTTTTGTCTTCGACGGTAAATTTTTCTTTAATATTATTTATCTACAGTAACCTCAGCATTTATGGGAGGAGTCCCACCAACGACTAGGTATGTAGAAGGAGTTCTAATGCAAACAAAGCTCACTGATAAGCACAAGAACCTCGACCCCCAGAATCATTCGCATCATCAAGCTCCACTTGGAGTAGTGACCCACCTTCGCCTATCAACAACCAACCAAAAGGAACATCACCAACTGCCAGGAACTCAAACAATCTACAACAAACGATCAACATTTTCATTCAACAACCAATCCATTCAAGGATCAGTGAGTCTTAAACAGTAACAACTCTAGTATTTCATATTTCTCTTTACCTTTTCCTTCATCTTCCTAAATTAAAAAAGGGCTTGATAGACTCTAACTAAAAAAAAACTTGTTAAGTTGGAAAGAGTAAGCAAAAAAAATGTGAGTGGTAGTGTACGGTTTCACCGTTATAGAAGCCAGAAAACTTGAAAAGTCAACCTTTTTATTTCAAAAAAAAAGTTGCAACGCGCAGAACAACAAAATTATTATTCAGAATGATTACCTCTGCAAGATTGATGATAGTGTTGCAAAAGAAAATATAGATACAATCGAGAAGGTTCACGCTAGCGTAAGGAGTCAATGTAGTCCTTAGTAAAAAAAAAACAGTGAGTACGACCACTTACTACCAGTAGAAGCAGGCAAGGGCGGCTGGCGTCGGGGCAGTGTCGAGGCGGTAGCTCGTTCTTCCCAAAGCACGAAGTTAACTGCCCCTCCACGAGCTCATCACATACCACATTTCGCGCCCATTTTTCCACGCTCCACCGCCTGCCTTGCGTTACAGACACATGGTGACATATCGATTGAAATAGATTATCAGTGATGAGACTCAGATCAAACATTACATTTAGGGTACTCACTAAAAACACACATATTGTTAAAAGACTGTCATCCATATTAAAGAAGTCATCGTCTTAGCAAAAGAAACATTGCATACTGTCTAAGGGTTCCACAGTTTTCAATTTATTCATCAATTGAATTTACTTCTTCTATTAAGTGAAATAAAACAAAACATAAGTAGCATAACAAAAGTGATTCCCAAAAACAAATAAGTCAGTATTTAGCCTCCCGCATATGAGTAATTCTGATTCCGAAATACTAACAGATTCGGACGGAAGACCCTTACATAGAGACTTGCAGAGGGGAGATTTTCCGTTTTCCGCGTCGCACCAGAGTACGACCATCTACTACCCCAGATAAAAAGAAACTAAAAGACAAAACCGAATTTCTCGCGCCACCTAAACACCAGCTAATTCCATTGCCAGTTCCGATTCTGAACCCAGATATAGTCGCGCACAATCTCTTCCTCCGCGACCAACACCAACTGCCTCACCTTCAAACGATAGTTTTTCTTCATTAATTCCTTACTCAACAATCAGCTCCTTGCGAACCCTTCTCCACAAATTATCGACGAACCAAGCAACCAACTACAGTTGCAATTCCCATCCATTAATAACTTTCAAGAGCAATATGTTCAAGCCGTAACTGTGGCAATTATTCGATTACGTGGAATTAACTTTCGAAAACCCCAATCAAAACATTACTGTACCCAAGACATTCAATGGAAGCCAACAATCAACCTGCTAATAGCTTAGAATCCGCATTTGAAAGGCTATGTCTAGCATCATACGCTAGTAAACTTCCAACGTTTTCGGGAGCAAACATGGGTGCTGGTCTTATGGATTTTGTACACGAATTCCATGAAATAAGTAACATAATGGGAATTAATGAATCCAAAATGGCCCGTCTACTCCCGGCCCATCTCAAGGGAGTGGCAAAAGCAGTTTATGAGAATATGGCAGATGAGCAAAAATCAAATTGGCGTTCAGCAATAACCAAACTCAAAGAGCATTTCTCAACGGACCAGTTCATGGATATGGCTAGGGAAAGGATTATGAATATGCGGATGGAATTTAACGAATCTCCTGTAGTTTTTTCGAATAGAATCCGGAAAGAAATTATGGATGCATATCCTCATACAGATCTTGCTGAACAACGCAAATTTCTTCAAAATATGGTATTCACTAATGGTTTACCTAATAAAATCAAGGATAAACTGAAACTTCTTGGTCCGCTACCTTCCGATTATAACACTTTACTACGCGAATGCAGAACGGATGCATAACCATAAATAGCTCCACTTCCCCTCCTGAAGAGGACCTGTTGATAGCAAAAATCGACAGAGCCATTGATGCAATAGTTTCCAATAGATCTTCTGAAATTCCTAGAACTCCATACTTTCGTAAACCTAATCGGAACTTCAACCCTGATTTCGAGCCTAGGAGATATAATAGATCCAATAATTTTCGAAATAATAACCAAAATAATCCACGCTTTCGAAGCCCATCTCGCAATAATGTAAGGTTCGCACCCACAACACAAGAAAGGTACAGTAGAAACCAATCACCCCAATTTCGTAGACAGCAAAATCGCCCAACTACTCCGACTTATAATAGAAACCAAGGATATCAAAACAATCGCGCCAACTCTCCATACAATCGTGCTAACTCTCCATATCGCCGTGGTACTTCTCCATTTCACCGTACACGGTCCCCATCTCGCCAACAACCCAATTCTTCATCCCATTTCTCGGTTAACTCCATAACTACAAGTAGTCCAAAAACAATTTTGAAACCCATGACTTCTTTATTCATTGTCGCCATCGTAAGCATAATGATAAGTCCTTGTTCAGCATTTTCTCTAAAATACCAACTCTGTGCAGCAGGGAAAATCTGGTTGGCCCATAGCTTTCCCTGATCCTGTGACATGCACGAGTTCCCCAAATTCTTCCCAAGTCATGATCACGGGAGCCAATCTTTACGTTGAAAGAACAGAACCACTGTTAATACCAGCATTTCACTGCTTCAATAAAACTAGGAGAATATGCGCATCTTCATACTTGCACGTTTCGTTCTCAGTCAATAGTGATGAAGAATTTATGACCCCTATGGACCCTACTCTTTGCGAGTCAATTACACAATCAAGAAAATATTTGGACGTTCCGCTGGAACAGCTCTCCTCTAGTGTATATGGTTCGGAAAACCAAATTCATTATTCCTATCCATGGTTTTTCGGAGAAAAGTGCACAGTCACTACAAACGTATATTTCGAAAAAGGAACAGTTGCAACTTTTGATGGCAATCATTTAATAGGCCAATTTGGGAGCATGGCACATTGTGACATTACAAAAAGCCAATGTAACCTCACGCATGGTACCGTTATTTGGACACCACCACCTACTACTTCAATATGCCGTTACGTAAAAGCCACTGAGGGAGTTGCCTATGTAACCCCTACTCATATAGTACTTAATAACATCCAATCGGCTTTTACTTATAAAAATGTAACATTCTCACATTCACAACTTAACGCATGGTGTTTGAATAATTCTGCAATCCCAATGGATAATGGTGTATTCATCGTTTTGCCAGAAATAGAGGATTATCATCCTATCATCTTATTTTCACAATACCCCGAAGTAGTGGATGGTATTAATCGTAAACACTTTTACAATTCGCAACTTTTGAATCTAGTAACTACCGTTCCTCAGCCTACTCAAAATCAATATGGTACTGCCGATACTTTACTAAAAACAGCAAAATCTAGCGCGCAGTCACAAAACGATCAATATAAGCTCCCCACGGACGAACCAGCCATAAAGGAACCACATTTTACCGTTCCCTTGATTTACAGGCTCATACGTAATATGAACAAAAGATCTGTGGACAACTTAAGCCACTCTTCAAACATTCCATTTTCACGAAAGAAAAGATTAGCAACTATGACATCAGGCAATCATAAATCTTTAAACTCTTTATTAACTGGGACTAAAGACTCGATTTTAAATGATGATCAAAATCCTACTCATAAATCCACTTCCGATATGTCACGACAAATAGCTCGTCATATCGCATTTCATTCAGAACCCGATTTTGCAACTATAAATAATGATCAGACCATAGGCCACGAACAGCGCCAAGATAATCGTCACGCGGAACTTAATACCAAAATGCAATTTTTGAAAATTAAAATGGATGAAATCATAAAACAAGATTTCAATTTTCTGTTAGACAAAATTTGTACGCTTATGAACTTCAAATCACACTCAATAAGAGGAATAGCTCAAATCAATCCAACAACTGCAGCGCGAATACTTTTGAATCGAGAAGACATATTCGCTCTTTCTGCAGGAGACGTATTAATGGTCTCCAAATGCAAAGAAATCGTTGTGGATGAAATCATTTTCGATCATAATATAAGAGGAATTTGGCTAATCTCTTTACACCACCGTCAAGAGCGCGAAAATTTTATATCAACCTAGCAACGGATTCGTTAAAGCTCTAGCCCACGACTGACTGCGGACATTAACCTTGGCATTTAGCACCTAGATGGAAACAACCAATCATGGACCGCGAACCGTCCAGTCTACTGATCTGCTTTTAAGATTCTCAAGTGTGAACTACGCATCAAGCCATCTCGATATTGGATCTTTCGGCCAACGCATGGACGTAGAGGATCTTTCAACGCTTTTAATTATAAGATGGGCAAGTGGCATCGCAACTTGAGGGCGAATTGTTTCATTGTTCGCACAACCAAATGGCTGGAGTCTCTCCCACCACATTTCTTGGCCCTGAACAACTCGAAGCTATTTAAATCCGCCATCCGAAAGATCAATCTCCTGGAAGTGCTTGGTATTATGGATGTGTCTTGATGTATTGTTGTCATCTTGCTGACCCAGTTTGTCTGTCAAGCGGTGCGCCGCCTTGCTTCACAGAACTGCCGGATATTTCTCGTGCTGATTACTCGCTCTAGCATTCTGTTCTGCCTGTCACTGGCACTCGAACTGATACGGGCCCTTCCACGTTGTTCTACCTAGTGCTTACGGTTCTTAAAACCTGTATCCTGCCCTTGCTGCCGTTTCCCAGCGTTGATCGATACCCCGCCTCGAAGTTGCGCAGTACCTATATCCGCATGTGCGAGGCAATCATTGGCCGACTGATCAGGCTCGTGCTATAGGTAGCTTCTGGGTATAGACGTGCGTGGCGATTGCGGCATGACTCGCGTCGTGTGCTCTCGAGTTGAACAGAAAGTACCCCGCCATTCGACTACAGAGTAGCGAAAGTTTCCCACCCATCTTCTACTCATTACATCATTCACAAGCACTTGACCAGGCCAAATTGCGTTCTTGGTGGCAGTGGCATTCCATTTAACGCTATCTCTTCCTTCCTCTTCCGCAAAACTACATTTCTGGTCGCGTTTAGTCATTATTATCCACATTCACGGTCCCTTTTTTGGTTTTGTGTTATTTAAAATTTTGAATATCATTACTTCGTCCATACTTGCTTCCTAATTACCTGTCATGAGTCCACTGGCGCGTTATCCACTCACTAACGCATGATAAATAAATAAATATATAAATTATAAATCACCTTCGGGATATGCCCAAGTGACAAACATTCTTTGAATTTACCTAATAATCTAGCACAAGAAAATTTTATTTTCAATTCCCCTCCAATTTTTCATTCGGTATGCTTCTAAGATTCAAAACGACACTAACTACCGTTATCCAAAACACACCATCAACTCAAAAGAACAATTTACTACACCGCCAAGCACAATCAGCAGCAAGGCGTTATCAATTCAGCCCCAGCTTTCGACAGGCAACTAAAGGACCACAGCAGCAATTCTGGAATCCAAGCAGATCTTCACAATCACCACACAAAAAAAACTCTCCGACAATGCCTGGCTTGCACAATCTGCAAATCGAATTGTCATCGTAGCACACTCTTGCCTCATTACTCCTATTAGCTATCGCATTTATGGCCAAATACTATTGTTCGGACATCATATTAATGTTGTCCGTGAATCCTACTTCTGGCAGCCAAGGCAGGGTCAAGCGAGGCGTTGAGGAAAATTTGGAAATACGACCCCCCCCACCACCCCTCCGCCGGAGGCCGAAGTCCATGAAACAACCCTCTTCAAAAGCCGAACTATGAAAAGGTTGAAAAGCTTGTTTGATTCTCCCCCAAAAGTGCTCATAAATGCCCTGCTACCCCACCGCCCACAAAAAAATTCGCTTAAGAATTAAAAAAGTGAAAAAGTCAAAGAATAATCATTATTGATGAGTCCTACCAAACGAGCAAACGAGAAACAGACCAGAAAACGACAAACTAGCCACTAAAAATGGCATACTATTACAACAATATCTTCTTTATCATCCTCCACAAGACTACCAATGAGGAACACACAGAGTGTCTCAATTGCACAGCTCCTCAGTTGAAAAGCAACTTTACACGCGCCTTCGCCCCTGGTTTGACTGACTTTGCTGTAACCGTGGAAGCAGCTTATTTACTATTCGACACTACAAACCTATCAAATAAATAACTTCTTCAAAAATACTTACGCCCATTTTCAATCGAAAGCATATGGAAAGTTTGTGAAAGCTTCTCCAATCATACCTGAACTTATACACGAAGTATAAGCAATGAACACAACCTTTAATCAAATATACGTGAAACTGTGAGCAGTCACGAGTTTTACACTTCCGGCGCATATAAACTGCTCATTCCCTCACTTCAAAAGTGATACGTCATAAATAAACAAAACAGAAGATATTTTCTCTCACCAAACTCTGTTTTTAAAGCATTTATACCTTCCATATTCAAACAAATGGCCACGGAGGAAATTTCGCAAATTAACGAGGAAAATTTGTGATGAGTGCGGGTTTTTTATTTCCTAAAGCCATAACTCCGTTCAAACTCATCCAATCCAAAAAGTGAATACGCCATCAGAAACTAGAAGATTTGCTCTATCAAATGCTAGCTAGAACTGCTCCAAACGACCAGTATTAAAAAAACGGCTACGTTGAGGATTTTCGCACGAGTACCGCCGAAAGGCACTTTTTCGCTACATTGGCACTATTTCAACGGCTGTATATCCTTTTAAGGGCGTATGTACTAAAGTAAGAGCAGATTTGGAATCATTGCTTTTCTCTTTCTAAGAAAAGTGATTGATTAGCGTTTCTCAACTTTAAAGGTTACATGTTTATAAATTTAACCCTGAAGAGTCCGTTAACGTCGTATAACTGTTGAATGTATACGTGTATCCCTCACCTTCTCCTCACGT